GATTAGTAGAGGAGTACATGCCATATCATGACATAATTAGTTTCATTGCTCGTCATAATCATCTTGTGCAGCTGCCTGTTCCCTCAATTAATTCCTACTTTCAGTGGTAGAATTTGTTAAAATCGTCCCCTTAATTTATATTGATCCCTACTGTCACCATCAGTGGCTTATGCATCTATCAAGGGCAGGGCACTTCTTTCGTTGCTCATTTCCATAGCAGTCACCAAGCTCATCGCCTGTATATATCCTCAGCATTGTGCTTGCTTGTACACTGCTGCTGTCAACCATCTAGTAGTATATATCCTGTGTCCTTTTGCTAGTATATCAATGTCTTCTACAAATCAATTTCCCATGTTTCCTATAAAATCTGTCAAAGTCCATTGTATTGTTCAGTCCGTCGAAGTCATGCTAGTCAATCTTTTCCCAGCTCCAAGTCGGAGTTGGTCTTCATCATAATCATCATACCATCGTCAACTCCATGTCGGAGTTAGTATTCGTCTTCAGTTTACCAGCTCCATGCACCACCACCCTCATCAATCAGTGAAGGACTGAAGAACAGTCTGTGAAGTTCCTTCACCATCATTGTCACCGTCTTTGAATCAATGAAAAGCCAAAGAACAGTTTGTGAAGGCTTCTGGTACCAAGGGCTGAATAACAGTTTGTGAAGGCTCGAGGTCCACTTCATTGAGGAGGGGATGGTTTTCTCTTGTTCTTCATCCAAGAGCAATGCTTCGACAACATCTTTAAATAGGGACTTCGTATTTATAGTAGTATATTGTTTATCTAGTGTTTAGTTTCAAATGCAATGCTATTGTATATACATTGCATTTGAGTGGGGCTGTTAAGAGTATTATGTGTTTAGGGGTATATTAGTAATTTCTCATATCTATTGTATTCATATGTGCCCTTTGGGCTAACTCAATGACTATGGTTAATCCCCAAATCTTATCTCAAAGTGACACAAGGGAGGGATTAGGGGAAGCAAGGGATTCATTCCGCACAGGGTTTGAGTGACAATGGGAGGATTCACTCAATCCGGTGGTTTGCTTCCCATTGGGGATTTAATCTCCAAGAATCGAACATGCCCTAAGGGTGTCTGCCACAGAAACACATGGTAAGCAAGCCAGGGTCCTAAGAAGCAGAGGAGCATAACCAGGACAAGCTGCAGTATAGATGGCCAAAAGGCCCGCCCGGCACGGCCAGGCCCAGGCACGGCCCACCAGCCATCGAGCCGGCACGGCCCGGCGGCCGTGCCGGCCCATGGGCTGCGCCTCCTGCCCAGGCACGGCCCACCAGACGTCGGGCCGGCCCGAAGGAGCGGGTGGCCCATCGTGCTTTTTTTAAATAAGTCTATTTTCTGTCCCTCCTCTATGGGCTGTGACATCTATATAACGAAAATAAGTCTATTTTCCATCCCTCCTCTTTGGGCTGTGACATATATATATAGTGAAAATAAGTCTATTTTCCGTCCCTCCTCTTTGGGCTGACATATATATAGCTAAATAAGTCTATTTTACGTCCCTATTCTTTCAATTGTGGCATATAATATGTCTATTTTTACTCCCTATTGTTTATGTGTCGGGCCTGGCCTGCGGCCCATCGTGCCGTGCCGGTGGAGAGGCCCAGGCACGGCCCGGTGATTGGGCCGGGCCGGCACGAGCCCGACCCTTGACGGGCCGTGCCATGCTTGGGCCGGGCCAAAACGCCATGCCATGGGCCGGGCCGTCGGGCCTCGGGCCTTTTAGCCATGTATAGGCTGCAACACTAAGTTGATAGTTAGGTTAAACAAAGAAACTGGGAATTGGTTTGTGAGCACGTTCATGGATGGGCACAACCATGACCTGATATCTAGCTCCGACCTGACATGTGTTATCCGGTGTCAACGTATTGTCACCTACGTGCCTCCTTGCAAGGTGGGTATCAATGAAGCACTGAGCTGACTTTATAAAAAAAACCAATAGGTGATAAATATGCGAAGGGATATCTGGTCTGGTGGTAATAGATTTTCCCAGCAACAATCTTACTTTTCCGGAATCCCATATAGTCATTTTTCTCGTGTATTAGTGGATCTAGGACATGATCCTCACTTATGTTACTATTAAACACTAGAAGACCAATTGACAGTGGCGACTCATAGCGACGTGAGAAGCAGGCCACGGCGGCCAGTCGTCAACGCGTGCAAATGTTGGTCAAGCCTCCTATTTCTTCAGTCTTCCAGATGCTATTGATTCTCTTTTTCTTTCGAACAGACTTTCTTGTGTGTACATCTTGATTAATCTTAAGAACAAACAAACTATAATATTGATGTATTTGATTTTCATTTATTTTAATTAATCTTAAGAACAAACAAACAAACAAACAAACTAAAATAGTAAAAATCTGACCATTGATTTTCATTTAAATTGGTGGGTCTATTAATTTTGATTGTTAGATTTATTTTACAAGAAAAAAAAATCTCCGCCCGGAGTCCGGACGTCAGCCTTCATGCGCACGTATGTACGATCCCTCCAATGTTCCAACCACCGTTCCTCTCTTTTTTTTAATCCCCATAACAATTAAAATTAAATATTTTTATGGGCCTAAAAAGCCCATTAGCCTATTATATCTAGCCAACTCTTTATATATTCAAAAGTCCATTAAACTTCGATCAAACGCTCCTATGCTACCATGTGGCATACTATAAACGCTCTCGAGTCGCCATGTGTCACTCTAATAAAATAGTAAAAATCTGACCATTAATTTTCATTTAAATTGGTGGGACTATTAATTTTGATTGTTAGATTTATTTTACAAGAAAAAAAAATCTCCGCCCGGAGTCCGGACGTCAGCCTTCATGCGCACGTATGTACGATCCCTCCAATGTTCCAACCACCGTTCCTCTCTTTTTTTTAATCCCCATAACAATTAAAATTAAATATTTTTATGGGCCTAAAAAGCCCATTAGCCTATTATATCTAGCCAACTCTTTATATATTCTCTCCTAATAAATAGTCCATTCAATATCAAATAAATATTTCTAAACAATGTCCAGATTTGTTGTTATTGGATATATCCCATCATATTCTAATTTGAATTTTTATAGGACGGAGGAAGTATATAGCACTCTTAAATTAGAGGAAATCTTAAAGAAAAATAATAAAACATTCGACAATCGAAATTTTAGGTTATTAGTTCTATCTTTTTTTTTAAAAAAAAACATCCCAAATCTCCCTCCGCACTCCCATGCGGCCTTAAAGCAAATTAACCATCTTATAAATATTTTTAAACCACCCAGTGACACTTCTAAATTAGAAAAAATCATAAAAATTTAAGAACAAAACATCAAACTATGGTTTCGACGTAAATCGATGGACATATCATTTAGGTTGTTATTAGATTTTTATTTTAAAAAACTCCCAAACCTCATTTCCTCCCTCCCTGCCCCTACAATGTTAATGACTTAAAACTACATTAAATATCTTATAAATATTTCTAAACCACTAGCGTTAAATGATATTGTTTTTTGTCATAATGTGTACCACATCTAGTGTTAATTTTTTATAGACAACATAATGAAAATAAAAACATGCTCAGTTGAACATCATATTGATCGTACAAGCATGTAGGTTGGAACAAAGAATCTTAGAAGTGAAACAATGATGAGGTGGCCTTACCAATATAATGAGTCAATTCCATATAGGAATTAAAAATCATGTTCATTTATTTCTTTTTGGTAGAACTTGCTACGCTCCGTTGTAAATTCCTAACATGTAGTGTAGAACAACTTAGAAATGTGTATTTATTACATGACCTCTATTTTTAATATTTCTTACTCTATTGAAGTGAGATAATTTAGAAGAGATGACTTTACCTCATGTTTGTAGGCTCGACCCACTTATGTTTTCAACCCAAATTACAGAGATCAAATAATTTCAAAGATGCTTCATAGAATGGAATTCTCCAAATTTCTTTAAAAAATGGACATGAAAACAAACAAAATTTATCTATTTTTTTAAAACAAATTGGTTTTAAAAACCATTCTAAATAGAAATATTTAAAATTTTTGCTGCGCTAATGGAATGAAAATATGTAAAACATCAAATAGCACCTAACAAAAAAATTGGACATTTTGAGCAAATGTTGGGGGGGGTAAGATATCTACGTAGGAAGTCAAAATTCCAAAAATTTACTCATAGAAACTACACATATTTTCGACATAATATTTTCTCATAAATTGAGAAGTGTGCAGTCTCGAGTAATTTTAGTTTAGTATTTATGTGCTGAAGGGGTAATCAGAAGAAAATTATAACCAGCATTCAAAACACATTAAATAAGTTCAATTTTTATTTTATGTGCATTACAAAGGATATTTGTAATAAAATTTTACGTGCATTAAAATGGTGCACGCGCATGTGCGCGGGCTACCTTCCTAGTTTATTGAAAAATCTGAAAACCTCAAACTTTTCCATGTAATAACAACATAATTTTAGCGGTATATTTTTCAAAAATATTCTAAACACCAAAATGAAATGTTTAAAGAAACATTTTCACACAGCCACATATTAGTATTGCTTAGCTTCCAAACATCCTCAAACTTTTCCATGTAATAGAAACAAAATTTTAACGGTATAATTTTCAAAAATAAATTAAGAACCACATATATATTTTTTGTGGAAGTTTAAGAACATTTCAATGATGATATCTAACCTTTTCCATATGTGTTGTGTTAATTTTGCACATGTACAAGAACAAATGGCCTTTGGAGGCAACGGCTCTCATCGGATGGCCTAATAAGCCAAAGAAAAAACCTAAAATTTGAATTTTCAAACTTAATTTTGAAATTTATTTTAAGATATTTTCAACGTAGTTTCTTTCAGCATTGACTTTTAAGTCACAAGAACATATATATAAAAGTTTTACCTATAAATTCATTTTTATTTTCTAATAAGCCGTTTTGGCTTACTAGAAAAAAAAGCGAAACGATGGGGCCCAACAATGGAAGTCAACAATCATCAACCGAATGGAGATGGCAAAAGGATACTAATGTAAGAGTGGCAAAATACATAGAAATATTTTTGGATGCCAATAGAGAGAACATAGTAGAAAGATCTCTAGTAGAAATGAGTGGGGAATAGGATAAGCTCGGAGTGCAGGTAATCCATCTTTTCTTTGCTTGTGTTTAATTTCAATTCTTAGTGCCTTCGTCTGCAAATTAAGAGAATCAATCATTGAAGCTCAAAAGAACGCATCAACTCTATGTTGGACAGGCTGTGGACAGGTTTTTGACTCACCTTCGAAATAAAGTGGAGAAAGTCGATCCCACCTCCCTTTGGTTTGATCAAAGTAGTCAACTACAGGAATGTGTTTGACTTTTACATTTGAGGAACCTTGTACATGTTCCATGAATTTTTGGTGCATGCCCACCAAACTGAGCTCTTCAACAGACCCAAGGAATTCCATGCCCTCAGGCAAATCCTCTAAATTTGTCAAGCAGATGAGAGCAAAGTTATAGAGATTTGGCATGCTATGCTTTTCAATCACTATTGAACTGACATTTTGCAGCTCAGCCAAAGTAAGTGTATGAAGCTTAGGAAACCACTCTGCCTGAAAGAGCAAGGTTTCTCCAATATAATGGTTGAACAGACCAAGAAGGGTCAGGTTACAGAAATTAGATAGTGATGGAAGTGGATCTATGCTCAGCCTGCTATTTTCAAGAGTCAACTCCATGAGGGTTAGCCTATTTGCCTCAAATAGGTCAGAGCCTATAACCCTATCATGGAGTCTACCTTTCACAAAGAGTATTTCAAGGTTCTGAGGTGCAGGATCTAGGGCTTCTAAGCTGACATACTCATCACTATTGGCAGTTCCAATAAGAAGGTTCTTTAGAAGCTGCATCTTTCTGATGGATGCAAATAGCTTTGTATAGTGGATATTTTTTACGTCTGTCAACTTCAATGATCTCAGCTGTGTAAAGCTGGCCAATTGTTCCACCAAATTGCTGCTTGCAGAAATGCCTGTGAGGACATTTAGATCCAGTGATCGCCATAATCCATTGGGGACTTTGACACCTGTGAAGACATCTTCGAGGCCAAAATAAGAAGCAACAGCCTTTCCAGCAATCAGATGGCGTAGCATCCTTAGCCTGGTTACGCCACGTGGAAGACTTGCTATTTCAGTAAGGAAGATGTCCAAAGTTCGGAGATTTTGGAGCCTGTCAATCGATTCAGGAAGTTGCTTGATCTTGGTTCGTCTTAATCCTAAATAATGTAAATTGAACAAGTTCCCAATGTCTCTCGGCAGTTTTCTGATTGGAACACTACCTAGTTCCAGAACCTTCAGGTACCTAGCAGTCCTTGATACCCATTGCACTTTTGACACGGAGGAACAATCGATATCAAATTGATAGAAAGAACGAACACGTGAAGCATTTATACTTAGCTGGACTCTGACTGAATTCTCATGAATTGATAACCGACGAGGCTCGCACTCAACCACCGATCTCTGAGCTTTATTATGTATCATGCAGAATCCTTCCTTTTCGGATATTGAAATTGCCAGCTCCCTGATAATGTCATGCATCTGGAGTTCCCATACTCTTCCAAGCTTATTTCTCCGAGCAACTTGAAGCAGGCAGCGATCTACTAGCTTTTCTATGTACTCCATTGCAATCTCCTCCAGTGTCATGTTTTTTCTTGGTTCAACAAGACCTTCTACTACTAATAGTTTACATAGCCGCTTCCCGCGTATCATATAGTCCTCTGGGAAGATACTGCATAAAAGGAAACAGTTCTTCAAGTGGACCGGTAGATGCTTGTAGCTTAAACCAAGGAGTCGAGTCACCATGCTGAGTCCTTGGTTATCCAAGCGATTGTGCAACTCCCAGTTCAGTTGATTATAGAATTTCTCCCACTCCATCAAATCCAGCCGTTTGAAGGATAGCAAGTTGCCTACTGCCGTTATAGCCAACGGTAGACCTTCACACCTGCCAACAATCTGTCTTGCTACTCGGTCCATTGCAGGAGGACATGTTTGATCTTCACCGTGCCGGAAAGCCCACATGCAAAAGAGGTCCCAAGACTCTGCCTCATCTAATCCTCGTAGTTGAAGACGGCGCTTGTCTTCTGCCAAAGAAGCAACATCATTTATGCGAGTAGTAATTACCACCTTACTTCTGATGCTGCTTTCATCTAGAAAGCCTTCCAAGCTGAACCAAACATTTGTATCCCACACATCATCCAAGACCATCATGTATGTCCTTCCCTGCAAAGTCTCCTGGAGCATCAGCACTACGCCTTCACTACTCATGCTTCCTAAGTCAGCTGAGCATGTATCCTTCAATGCACACTGTATAATCTTCCTCATTATTTCAGTAATGTCATATGTTTGAGACACGGTAACCCAGATCTGGCAATCAAAACGGTTCTTGCTAGCTTTGCTTTCGGAAACAGTTTTGACAAGAGTAGTTTTACCGGAACCTCCCATACCCCATATGGAAATTATTGAGCATGATCTTTCATTTGCCATTAGCAACTCTTGCAGCTTCTGTCGCTCATTTACAAAACCGACAAGTTTCTTATTATGCATTATGTGGTGGAGTGTGTGACCTTTGCTATCTTCATACCTGATGGAGCTGGCACTTTCTTCAGATAAGTCAATATTGTACTGAAGTTTCAAGTTTCGAATATTTTGGAGACGATTCTGCACTTCTTTGAGTTCTGCTGCTATTCTGCGCAATGGCATCACACTTTCAGATTTTCTGAAGAAGTTCTTCAACAATTCCACAGATGGGGTTTCTTTTCTGCCAAAATAATAGACAAATTCATCCAGGATGTCTTCAACTTCAAATGCTATCTGCTGAACTTCCTGCAGAAAGGTTTCAGCCTGCCTGCTGGAGCTTTCTTTTTCTTGGCCATCTTGCAGGAAAGATTGCATCAACCTAAACTCACTTCTAATTTGCTTTACAATGCTTTCAACCTCAATTAAAACTGATACCTCCTTCCCCAGATGTGAAACTAATGCCTGCGTCAGATGTGACCCCAATATTGATCCAATTTTGCATAGGATTCCAAACACCACAGACTCTGCCATTCAGTGCTCGATCTCTCAGTTCAGATATTTTCAAATGCAAGACCTGAAACAAAATGAACAAGCATCCAATAATAAATTTTCATCCTACAAATTACTTTGTACCAGAGTTCTTGAAAAATTGCATTAAGTTAAAAAATAACAGAACGGTTGTCATTTCAGACTTATTTCACAAATTTTTTGGTGCCAGATGTATCCATGTAACAATTCAAATAAGAAACCGGTGAAGTTTAAGTGGCATATAAGGAATTTTCTCTTCAAATAAACAGATGCTACACAATCTAATTTCTGGTCCAATCGAAGGCAATATACTCTTTCTTTTTCAGCCTTTTTTATGTAAAAAACATGGAACCCAAACCACAAAACCACCTATAAGCCTATACATAAGGGAGAGAAACAGACTAAATAAGGCAAGATAGAACGGAGAAGGTACATGAATTACCTGTGTTTGCTCGCCGAAGCTTTTCTCGCAGATGGGAATTGCAATGGCAAAGTAGACGCCCTGGAGGCATTTGATCGAACAGTTGGCGGGTGGTTGAACTGACGACCGGCCAGAGTGTGCGCCGTGGTTTGCACACTATCAATGGGAACCTGGTAAACCCATAGACACACCAATAATAGTGATGTCGGTAGTTTATTTAGTGTTTAGCATCTAATAAAAAGTGGCAACTTGCACCTTCGAAGAAATTGAGAGCAAGAAAGCTGCATGTTTCCTACCGAAATCCCCATTCGAGGGACAACCGATCAAGATGTCAATTGCAGCTTGGAAAGGGGAAATGGTTTAAATGGAGAGAGTGGGACTGGCGTGTCAGCCTAGGACAAGCATATAATATACTCCCTCCGTCCCATAATACAAGAGATTTTGACTTTTTACTTGCACTGTTTGTCCCCTCGCCTTATTCAAATAAAATGTGCAAATATAAAAAATGAAAAGTTGTGCTTAAAGTACTTTGGATAATAAAGTAAGTCACAAATAAAATAAATAATAATTTCAAAATTTTTTGAATAAGATGAATGGTCAAACAGTGCAAGCAAAATGTCAAAATCCCATATATTACAAGACGGATGGAGTATTTTATTAAGAGTGTATTTTTTTAAGTTCATTTTGTCTTAATATTTATGTTGGCCACTTTCCATTGAGTAAATTTCACGGAACACTACAATTTTCAGGGAATCTGTATCACTACCAAACCACATTCAACTATCGGTTACCTGATAAGAAAGGCTCACCGGTCAGTGACTAGCCGTATACCCCCCCTTGTGCGTCTGATACGCAGGCATTCGCTGGAGCCGAAGTTAGCGAATCAGAAACGACAAAAAAAAAAAAAAAACCACGCTAAGCTTTTTTCAGGAGTAGCGTCACCAGACCCATGTGCACAACACGAAGACAACCAACTCTTTTTGAAGCTCACGTTTGCTTGCCTGCCTACTTCGGTAGTTCGGTCTTTTGGTTTTCGGCCCAACTCGAGTTTACGACGTATATAAGAAGTTCCAAACCTAGTATTTGCAATGATGCTCTGATTTTCTGCATACATATACATGAATATATTTTTTTTATCTAAAGTGTGATTTCAAATCTTTTATTAAAGAAATTAGTTACTATAAATTCTATTACTAGATATAAATTTTATCTTAGGGATGCCAAGTCTTTTATAATATTTTCTTATTATGGATGAAAACCCACAATATTTTTTAAAAATTATTTCTATATGTATTTTATGTATGTTAACTTTACATGTATAAACTTTTTATATGTAAACTTTATATGTACAAATTTTATGTATATAAACTTTACATACACAAATTATTGGTAGAAAATAGTTTGCATACAAATCACAAAGCTGCATCCGCCCATGAACATTTTGCACTTTTGAAAGATCATGGGAAAAAAAGAAAAACAAAAGGTGCAAACAACGGGAGAGGGCCAATGCAGGAAAATGTCCATCCATTTAGCCCTAAGAAAACTTCAACGCATGCAGACCATATGCTGAAATCCAGAATGGGAGACGGCCCATGTGCTTAAATGCAGAAAATAGAAATAGCATGTTTGCTTGTTAGACTTTTCGGAATCAAACCAAGAGAGGAAACAGAACGCTATAGTTGAAAGAGAAAGTGGGACGTTCGCGCGTGTGACTAATCAGGAATGCGCATTAGTCGTTCCGCCGCTTCCTTCCTATATGCCATTCACCCGTTTGCCCCGAAAAATTATGTAGTTGCAAACCTAAAAACTAGTCTATAGTAAGATAAAAAAAATGGGGCAATTACGCATCTGAGCTTGTTTTGAAGCCTAACTACTAATTTGACCCTCTTTAATCAATTTTGTTTATTTTACCCTTCTTTTCAAAATTGAAGATCCAATCTTACCCTATTCTGTTCAGGGTATATAACGGTGTTAATTTGAGCAAAAAATGTCTCTTCTACCTTTGGTCATTTGACCCTATTTAATGTCTCTTCTACCTTTGGTCATTTGACCCTATTTTATCAGAATTATAAATAAAATATATCAAAATTTTGGATAGCAACCAAAAAAAATATAATCTCTTTGCCACGGCGGCGGCGTCGCCGACCCGGCGGCGGCGCACCCACGGAGGAAGACGGAGGCCTCCGCGCGCGGGGAGGGAGGGAGTGAGCGGCGCCCTATGCTCTTCGCCACGGCATCGTCATCGTCATTGCTGACCATCGGCGGCGCGCGCATGGAGGAAGATGGAGAACGACGCGCGCGGGGATGGAGGGAGCGGTGCCCTGATCTTTGCCACGGTGTCGTCATCGGTGTGCGTGGAGGAAGACAGAGGCTGGCGCGCTCGGGGAGGGAGGGAGCGGCTCCCTGTGATCTTCGCCGCAGCGTCGTCGTCGTTGCCGACCCGGGGGCAGTACGTGTGTGGAGGAACCGAGGAAGACAGAGGCCGGCACGCACGGCGACAGAGGGAGCAGTGCCCTGTGAGGCGCTGGAGCTCGCCGGCGTGCGGAGGGCGGGCGGCGGCATCACGCGCACGGAGAAAGGAGGAGGCCGGCGCACCGAGGACGAGCAGTGACAGCTTGGCGCCGAAACTCGCCAGCTCACGGGAGAGGGGCGCCGCTAGATCTGCGGCTTGTACGCCCAGCCTCCGCCGGATCCACCGCCACAACTTGAGCTCCGCCACCGTTGCTCCTCCTCGTCGTCATCAAGCTGCCGCCGCTCCTTCCGCTCGTCGTTGCTGCTGGTCCTTCTGCTCGCCGTAGCTGTCACCTGTCCTTTCTCCGCGCGCACCGCCTCCTCCGCGCACGGGCTGCCACAGGTCTGCTACCTCCGCGTGCGCCACCACAGGTCCACGCCCCTCCATCACCGCTCGTCTCAATCGTGTGCCGCCGCCGCCGCCGATAGACAAGATAGAGACGGGAGTGAATGGATAGGGTTAGATGTGGATGGGGTTTCTTCAGAATAGTTTGGTCAATACGAATAATAATTAAATTTCTTTTTTTTTCAAAAAAATGAAACTTTAACGGTGTAGTGGAAACAGGGTCAGACGGAGTATTCATTTTTGAAAAGCAGGGTCAAATAAGCAAACTAAAAAAGTAGGATCAGTTTAGTACTCCCTCCGTATTTTAATGTATGACGCCGTTGACTTTTTAGACAACGTTTGACCATTTGTTTTATTCAAAATTTTTGTGCAAATATGAAAATATTTATGTCATGCTTAAAGAACATTTGATGATGAATCAAGTCACAATAAAATAAATGATAATTATATTAATTTTTTGAATAAGACGAATGGTCAAACTTTAGATAAAAAGTCAACGGCGTCATACATTAAAATATGGAGGTAGTATTTATGCTTCCAAACGGAGCCAAATAAGTAATTGTGCCTAAAAAAATAGACTTTTAAGATTTGCACTATATATTTTTCCATAAGTAAAAAATTTTACTACTTTCAAGTATTTGCACTATATATTTTTCCCTGTTTGCCCTTGCCGAAATTCTTCTACTGTTACAAGTTGAACTTGTTAGTGTGCTACGGCTGTATATTTTCCAAGTTTGTCCTTTCTGAATTTTGAAGGCAAAGTATTATCCTTCCGGAAACCTCATTGATATAGTTTTCATCCCAACGTCTTCCGTGACTTAGAAAAGTACTGAGTACAGCTTTATTGAAAAAAGGCGTAATTTGGAGAATAGGGGATGGTGACAAGGTGTATATTTGGAGAGATCAATGGATCCCAAAGGCTGCTGGGTTAAAGGCAACAGGCAAGAAAGAGAAATCGAGATTAAAGTGGGTATCTCCACTAATCTTTTTCTAGGATCGAACAGCAAGAACTAAGCCAACCAGGGAGGGTCAATGGTTGTAGTATCCAAAACCAAAACTTTTAGCGAAATTAAAAGTTACCCTCGAATCGATGACACGTGGTCTGACTAGGGTAAATGCGCTGGTCTAACCGCCTGGACACCATTGGTCTAACCGTAGTAGTCACTCCAGCTGTCTGACCGCTGTAATCAGCCGCCATCGCCTATAGCCGCCGCCGGTCTGACCGCCGTTAACCTGCCGGTCTAACCAGTCCGACGCCATCGGTCTTGCCAGTTGGACCGCTGAGCCTGAGCAAACACAAATCGAAGAACTCTCAAAGTAGATCACAACTTTATTACTTCTATCTGTGTTTACAAAGTGCAACAACAGTACTCCTCACGAAATCTCGGCTAAACTCGAAACCCTAGCTATCCTCTCAACTCAATGCTCTCTTAAACGATACCAGGAGGCCACACCCTCCCTCTCTATATATACACGAGGTAGGCAGCCTAAAGCCACGAACCAAACTTGTACAAGATGTTCTAATCCTCTAGGAAACCTTCTCGTACAAGAAACTAACTTTACAAACTCCAATTGTACCAAATTTAGACACCCTCCAATTCGACCAGTCAGATCGTGGGCTGGCCGGTCTGACCGGTAGCACCTGCCCAGTTTGACCGGACCCGACAATCTAGCAGTATCTGTTCATCACCTGCAAATCACTTTGCCAATAATCTCCAAATATTAAAACCAATAATCTTATATGCCAATTGTTCATCACAGAATAAGAATCAAACACACTTTGATTTTACACTTCTACAATCATGATGCTGATTAAATCCTAAAAGTCAAGCCTTCACCGAGAATATCTGAAGATTTTGTTACCTGGCATTACGAGAAAAATGGTATCTTTTCAATATGCAGTGCTTATAAATTGGTGCTAGCAGAAAGAGAACTAAAAGATGGAAGTTCTTGTAGCAATGCTACTGATGGGAGTAGACATTGCTGGTACATGGTTTGGACAGCAAACGTGCCCTAGAAAGTTAGAGTGTTCGCCTACCGCATCGCACGAGACAATCTCCCTACTTAGGCCAATAAGTTTCAAAGGCAATTAGTGACATAAGAAAAGTGCACGATTTGTGGATTTGAAATTGAGAATTTTCACACAATGGTTAGATGTACAAAAAGCGAAAGCTCTGCGACATGCTCTGTGCAGGATTTGGGCTCTCCTAGGGGAAAGCTCTTTTAATTTTTTTGGCGTGATTGCTGGAAAGGTTGTCTATCCTTCTTATCCTTCTTAGCTCTGTACCAACTAACTCTTGTCATATCCTTGTGCTGTTTTGGGGAGCTTATAGTATTTACGTAATGATATTGTCCATGGCAAAGGTGAGGAGATGGTGGCAAGATCTGCAATGTTCTTACAGAGTTACCATGACTCTTTTGCACAAGCCGTGGTACAAGAACCTGGTAAAAAGGTAAGGCAGTTTTGAGTGCAGTATAAATTA